AAAAAAAAAAAAACAAAAAAAAAAAAAAAAAAAAAAAAAAAAAAAAAAAAAAAAAAAAAAAAAAAAAAAAAAAAAAAGAAAAAATCTTGCTTTTTCATTAACTTTGTAACGAACTGTTATAATAAAATAATATTTCACTAAAATACTATTGAGAGCCTCTTTTTCATGTTTTAAATTACTTGTGTTGTATTAAGAAAACTACATACTTGTAATAATATAAACAAATAATAAATCAAAAATATAATTTCAATGCATCAAAAATATAACTTTAGTATCACCTTATCTAAACATTAAGTGTTTTCTGCTACGCTTCAGACAAAAATTGAAGTTTACATGGATCATCATTAAACATTAGATTGTCATCGAACATTCTTGTTTTTTAGATATCCAAATGTTCAAGGTGTCCAAGAAGTCAATAACTTTAAATATTTTAGCAATTAATTAAAATTATATAATATATTCTTTGTTTAATTCTAAACATTTTTGCTTAAAAAGTTTAAATAGGTTATCTTAATAAAATTTTGAGTAAATTCTGTTTATTTTTAGTCCAAGATTATGTCCAAAGGCTGTCCAACGACAACAGTACGTGCAAATTTACGTGATTTGTACATGTCCGTAGACTTTCCGTTTTTGGTTTTTATAAATCAAAAATTAAACTTTTGGATGTTTAAAGACATTCTATAATGCAAAAATCGTAATCAAAAGTTTATAAATTTAAACTTGGTAACTTGATAAAAGTTTAATGCTGTTTTCAATATAAATGAAATTGGATACTTTTTTTATTCTTTTTCAAAGAACTAGCGAACAGACCTTACTTCTGTAAATATTTCGTGACACGCATTGCTATTGACGGCATATAAAATTTATTCGATAATTTATGTTGTGAGAACGTATGCGTTCTATCAAAATATAACTTATATAATGTCATTTGATTTGCTCGTAAAAGTCGCGTGTGAAGCCGCAAACGAGACATTTGTGATGGAAAGAGTTCATTTTTCCGAGCATAAACTTTTGTTCGACAATGATATTCGCAATGAAAATTTGGCGAATATTGGGCGACCGCGTGTATGGTCACAGGTATTTTTGCATGTTCAATATTACTTGAAATACTAAATTACAATAGCACGTGTTTTATCGTCTATTTTCGCTAAGACACGGCAAGAATTATGCGAAAGCGTTCCATATTTTCGTAATTGGCAATCTGGGGTATATTTCAAAGAAGGAGTAACGTATGGTTACCTTGTTGATGGGTACGGCGCGATGCGTGATGTTTGTAATGGCCGTGTAATTATTTCTCATGGGCAAGTAATCATAATATCGTATTGAACTACGAGTGAATTATCGCTTTAACTTTGAATATTGAATCAGAAACACCAAAATTTCTTACAAGTCTTTAATAAATTACAGTGGTGGAAAATCATGTAGGCGCCAGGACGGAAGTTTCGGTCTTTTTGCCTCTCAACTCTTGACAGATGCATCTGTATGCTCGTTAATTAAAAATTATATTAATAAACAACCGTTGGTAATCATTGTTGGAAACAAAAAGAACGCAGAGTTTAGAGTTCCTGCTCGCTACTGCGTGATGGGGTTAGTAAAGAATAATATATATTTTATATTTTATATGATCTGTATTAATATAATGCATTCTTTCCAATAGGCTGTATTATATTACTCATGCCTGGGTTTGTGATTTGACTACGTTTTACATGATAATTTAAATTTCAGATTAAGATTGTTCTCATAATGGCTTAATTCCATTAGCCAGAATATGAATTAGACAACAATGACGATGATCTTACCGATGAAGAAGATATCTTGAATGGAAATAATACAGAACATAAACCTAAGACCATGCATGAGGGCCCATTTATTCGGTGGAAATTTCGATTTGAATGGGTTCCAGATCAAGAATATCCACCTTGGTGGGAATCACCTAGTCAAAAACTTATTTATTCAACTCTTTTACCGGGCGCTTTAAGAGTTTTTATATGCCCCGAATGCGAAGCTCCATCATCTAAAATTTATAAAACTGCGTGGATATGCTTAAATCATAAATGTAACCGTTTTTGGCAGGTACAATATAGAATAAATTATTATTACTTTAACAAATTGGTTTTATATTTCCAATTTCCTTATATTTTCATTATTAAATATAGGCGTGGTCTGATAAAAATCAATGGATTAAAGTGCCAAATAATCTTATATATGATCCAGTGTTTCTTAATCCTGGTCTAATTTCTCGTGATCAATTGCATCGTATACCCTTCTCAATATTGCCACCACAGCCTCCAGGCACGTCGAATAATGACATAACGAATTCTAGTGTTTTATATGGTGTTCAATACTGGAAAGGATTTCATTGTCTTCGATGTGGTCGAGTTTCTTGTCGAGATAGATGGGCTTTTTGGGAGTGCGCAAATTGTGGGGTATGTCAACTTTTACGTAATTAATTCTATAGGATTTTTTTTGATATTCTTTTATCAATTTCTATACGCAAATTCAAATTATTGTAAAGTTAAAGCATGAAGCACCAGAACAACGTCTTTTTCCTTCGATGTTACGCAACCCGAATCTCCCTGTGTTAATTGGGCCTGCGTTCGATTACGATTCATGCATTAAAGATAATAGTGGGATTACCAAGACTAGTGAAGTGTCTGCTGAGGGTGCCGTCGTTCGCAAATATTACTTTCCTGAAGGTGGCTATATTATACACAGGATTGGAAATAATTCTATAAATAGAATATCGGATCAATTTTTCATGAAATTCCAACGAAAGGATTTGCCGTTTAAAAGGAATACCTTAAAAAAAGGATGTAATAGAAGTAAGTGACTTTTATTATTATTACTTTATTCATTTGATCTTATTCATATTATTAATGAAATTTTATAGTTGGATCACAGTTAGTAGCTCGTCAGTTCACCATGAATGTCGGTGCAAAATATAAGTTTTCATTGGAATGTGACACATTAATGTTTGAAGAGACTCCGCAAATCGTTCAAGATTGCTATAAATATATACACGAAATGTGTAATGTGTTTATTGAAGGCGTTAGGTTTAACGAAATGTTACTGGTGGCATATTTAAATGATCAGCGCGAGAATATTTGTTTTTTTTTTTTTTTTTTTTTTTTTTTTTTTTTTTTTTTTTTTTTTTTTTTTTTTTT